ATGAGTCCGACACCCTCTGCCAACTTGGTCAGGGCATCATCTACGCCACAGGCACGTGCGGCTGAGAGCGCAGCAGACCAATCGTGCAAATCATGGCTGCTGTAAATCGCATCTACAGCCGCTGCCACCGCGCGCTCCCTTCTAAGAAAGCCTTTGGCGGGTTCCAGAAGGTCGCGCGGCAACTCCGCATACTCAGCCATGGTACAAAGTGCTTGGACTTTGCCAGCATCTTCCGAGCGCATGGCACGAGCTATGTCTTCAAGCAGCATCTTTTGCTGCAAGATGCGGTCTGCGGCCTGCAGGACATCATCAGCAACACCCGCATCTTTGGCGAGCTCCATTGCTTCCCTGAGATCGCTCGAGCAGACATCGGACTCCAAGCAGGACAGCTGCTGGACCTCCCAGCGTGCTTCAAGCATCCTGCTGCGCTTGCGACTCTTCTGAATAGCCACAGCGTCCGTCGACACCTCAACAATCAACCGCTTGTCCGCCACACCAGACGCGGATGCTCGCATCGCTGCTTCAGCCATCTTCACTGGATTTCGGGTGCGTCGAGCTGCTTTGAGTTGGGCCAAAGCCTCTTTCCTCTCAGCATCTCTCTTGATCACCTCCTGTGCAGGGTTGGGGCAAGGGTTATGTTTAAACTGGTTAAACGCACGGATGTTAAAACGCTAGCCGCTAAATGATTTCAGTTTAAACCTAGGGAACCCTCCTTTGAGTCATGGTTGAACCCTTTAAACAGGCGATATGTGTAAAGTCATGGCCAAGATACACAGCACTGATGCAAATCTCTGGCAAGCCTCTGACGAGGTATGTGTAGACGGCTTAAACTTAGACCGAGTCTAGCTAAACAGGAAGTTAAGTGTTTAGACCTAGGTGTTTACATGCACTCGTATAGCAGTATAGCATCCAAGGCATTGAGCTACCCCTCTCAACAGTCACGCTTCAACATGGTTTTAAACATTGGTTTACGCACATTGGGGATGTGTGGCACGCAGGGATGGGTTTTAACACATTCGAGATCTGTGACACACAGAGCACAATTTAGGCAGATGATTAAACATGGAATGGGCTTTAACCTATTCCGAATGTGTGGCATTTAAGGAACCGGTTAAACATGCGTTTTAACATGGGCTTAAACAGTTTCGGGATGTGGAGAGCACTGGCAAAGAGATGTAAAAACATTGGTTTACACGGATTCGGGATGTGTGGCACTCAGGGAACTGTTTAAAACAGTGCTTCAACATGGGCTTAAACAGAATCGCAGGGCACTGCTCAAACAGATGTGTGTTTAGACAGTGGCTTAAACACATTCGGGTTTTTGTGGCACTCTGGGAACTGTTTAAACAATTATTGACACATCAGTTTAAACGGACTTGCGATGCATGGCGCATACAGAACTGCTTAAGCACATGCTTAAACACTGGTTTAGACACGCTCGGGATGTGTGGCACTCCGGCAGTTGGCAGGTGTGTTGAAACATGTACCCCCTTCTTGACATGCGTAAACCGTGGTCTAAACATCTCAAATGCAACGGGAGTGTTTGAACAACTAAACAAACATCCACCCACTGGCTACGCATGCTTAAAGTTGATTGAAGCTGTTCAACAGTTTCTCCCTACACGCGTTTGAAATGACCCTGCTCCTGCGCTGCAGCCAGAGTCTTGTGCGTATTTGGGTGGAGGCCACACTGAAGGCAGGCCTGCACTGCCGCATCTAGATCAGCTACATCGCGGTTTCGGAGTGCATTGCCCAGGCCATCATGACAGCGAAGACGCTGCTTCGCAAGAAGTAGCGCTGGCAGGTCCGCCCGCACCTGTGCCTGCTCTGCCAACTCCACTGCTGCTCGGATCTCGGGAATGCTTTGGTGGCTTAACGTCGCGTTCAGCTGCGATGAGGCAAGCTCCTTGTTTACCTGGGACACCAACTCCTTGTGACCAGCAATTCGTTCATCCACTGCCTTCTGGGAGGATGCCTCCTGTTCGGCGTAATCTTCCGTGGGACAGGTCTGCAGTTGCCGGCGCCGTTCCGGAGACACGTGGATCCCATGCAGAACTCCAACATCGAGCTCTGCTCTTCTGGGGCCAACATGGAGAACTGTGCCACAAAACCTGTGGCCAAGGCTTTCGCTTCTGGGTGCATGTGAAGGAAGCAATCCGCATGGAACCACTGCGCTTCAAGGGCATCCGAGCCGATGCAGAGGCCACGAATGCAAACGCCGCAGCGATCACATCGCCGTGCCTCAACCTTCTCAGCTACAGGTAGTTCGCAAACGAAGCCGCTGCTAGCAAACCTACCTGCAGCTTGCGAGGAATCTGTAACGAGGCCCAAGCTTGGCTTCTGCTGACAGCTCTTGCTTGCAGTGCTCCTGGCTGCCGGCTTCTTCTGAGGCCTTCCCTGGGACTTCGTCTTCTCCCTCTTCCTTTCGGATTTTTCGACCTTTGCCTCGTGCCGCCCTGTGGATTTCGAAGCTCTGGCCTCGCTGGCCTTTGCCTTCTTGGGCGGAGGCTTTGACTTCACAGCCCCTTTCGCAGCTTTCACAGCTTTCACATCGCTTTTTCTTTTTTTTCCTTTGGAATTCACAGCTTTCACATCCCTCTTTGCTTTCTTCCCTTTGCACTTCTTGACCTCTGGTGGCTTGCGCGCCATCCCCCGATTACAGGCCCTAGCAGGCCACAGCTTGAGCAGTGCTTGAGCCCAAAGCTGGGACAATGCCACACTGTAGCAGATTTTTTTGGGCGATGCTCCCATGGAAGCCTCAAAAAGCAAAAAGTCACAAGCCGGCCTTGCCGTAGCGCTGTAGCGCTGGGGCGCGGGCCGCCGTGTGATGAGGTCCTGGAGCCGGGCTTTCAAGCAGTTGAGCTATCGACGATGTATATACTCTTTGATAGAACTCGTACATGTAGGATCTCCAAGAAAGCTTTGCTTTGCTCACTTGTGCAAGTTGTTCCTCATACCACCGACCGACTTTGCTTGCAGTGTCTGAAAGCTTGCTGAAGACCTAGAGCGCAAGAGCTTGCTCTTGATGAATCATCAGTTGAGGCCTTGAGGCCACTTTGCTCCTCATTTCAATGTCGGCTTATGTACGTTCACTAAGGCCATACAGAAGTCCTAGGAAACAAAGGCTGCTTTGATGATCTGTGTACCAGCGCACATCAGCAAGCTGCAAAGGGATTACTTCAACCCGCCGATCCCGGAAGCAGCAACGAGCTTTGGGAATTCAGATTGCAAGCTATGGACGAGATTTGCATTGCAGGCTCACTGCTCCTCGTGGGACAGGCCGTCCTTGAACACCATTTTGTAAGGCTTGATCAGCTGAAAGAGCTCAAGCTTCTTACAACTGCTCGAGAGCTTCGTGTCAACGGTGCACTTGGCTTGAACTTCCAAGCCCTACATCGCCTGCAGTAAATTGCTGCAGCACGCCTGTGCGAACCCGCACAGCTCAAGCAGTCCCAGCAACTCTTGAGGTACGAGTAGGTTCCTGGGAGCCCATGGCTGCAGTCCAGGGTATCTGCGTCTTTCCCTGCGACACTTCGCAAGCTCACGAACCAAAAGCGTACAGTTCAGGTTGGCCCGGCTGGCCGACTCTGCCTTTGAAGCTTCCAGCACACAAGACAATCCATTCTAAGTCGATGGTTTATGAACTGCCCGTGAGAGTCTTGCAAGTTTGTCTTACAAGTTGATTGAGAGCTCATCAGCCAACCAAGATGTTTTGCTTGAGCATCAGGTGTGGCATCACCTGCACTTGAAAGGCTGCTCGAAAGAATCTGGCGATGCGTCCTCATCTCCTCCCATACCAGCTACTCGCAGTCAACCCATTTCTTCCTTTAATCGCTGGCATCACAGGTACCACAAACGAACCCCCGCCTTGCTTGCTGAGGCTTCTTGTGCCATGCGCCTGTCTAAGCACGATGTTTCACAGGCGATGCCCAAAAGCTACAGCCTCTCGATTCGGTTCTGCTGTTATGGTCACGAATCCCTTCAACATCAGAAATCCAAGGAACGCAAAAAATACGAAAATAGCAGATTCAGATTCGAAAATGCCAAAGCGAAAAATCCATCCCAAATGCATCAGGGGTATAGCGGCTGCGTTTTCTTGGGCCTGCTTGACCAGCTGGGTTTCCGGTGGATTTTCATTCTGTGCATTTTTCGCAGGGTTTCACTTGTTGGTTTTGCATGTGTTCGCATTTTCCTGAAGGGGCCCCCCGTCCCAAAGATGCAACCATCCTGGCCCTGGCCCCTGGCCCTAGCGAAAAATGCAAGTCGCAGGCGCATGTTATTGGCATTTATCCCGCACTCTGACATGGGTCCGGCTGTTTTGAAAGGGTTGGTGCCCATAAGTCTGCTGCAGAATGTAGAATTGCCGCCAGACTAGAGCAGGAAGTTTCCCCCAGGCCATCCCACGGAAGTTGAGGCAGGACGAAGCCATAACCGATTCCCCCAGAAGTCAGAACAGTTGGCAGTCTCAGAGCGGCTTCTGGACGTTTTCTACGTGTTGGACTCGGCACTTTGCTGCTTCAGAGCAGCAGCCCACGAGGAACCATCCTGGGTTCAAACAACGCTGGTTTTTTGGGGGATTCTTGGTGGGGCCCTGGGCAGCCGGCGTTCGGTAAAAGAGTCGCCTCGCGCTATGCTGCACATCTCCACATCTCTACCCAAAGGAGACCGGGAAGCGCACGAGCAGCTCGCGATGCTCGGGATCACCCTCCAGGCATCCTCACGGGCCCCAGCAAGGAGAAAAAAGCGGTTCGAGCAGCGCAGGGAAACCGGGGCTGCTGGCTCCAAATTTCTCGGCATTCCTCAGCGGAAGCACTGCATCAAAGAAACCGTGACTCTGAGGACGAGGCCAGGAACAAGCACTGCAATCACTGCAAGCACCCGAGGCTGCTGTTTTGCTCTTGCTCTTGGGAAAGCCACCGCTTCAGCACAGCCTGAAAGGCTTCATTGTGACTTCTGAGACTTGGGTCCAAAGCCAAAGCCGTGAACTATCGCCGAGTCGCAATCCGATCCAGCCGCTCCACATTGTGAGCAGCTGTGGTCGCATCCCAAGCATTCAAACTCTCAGCCAAACGCTCGACCTCCACCTCAGCAACTGGGAACCACAGGCCTGCGACGAGCCGAGCGGGGCGAGCCTGAACCTGCTCCAGGCCGACCAGGGACGCGTTCTCCAGCACTGCGAGGTCCATCTCACTGCACAACTCTGGCTGTAGGGGGCGGCACCCTGTGAAGACATGCTCCTCGGTTGCACCGTAGATTGGAAATGTGTACCTCACTTTGCCGACGGGCTGCCGCCAAGTCGCTTTTCGCCTCTGGCTCGGGATTCGCATCCTTCTCGCCTCAGCTGCACCCCAGTGGCCCGCAGAATCCCTCAGAATCCCTCAGAATCCCAAAAGCGCGGGCGAGGTTCCTGTCGAGGCCCGTCAGGAGTTAACACTCCACCATCACTAAGATCGATCATGTCTTCCAGCGGCGTCAAGTACCTGATAGAGAATGCATGGGGTGGCGCACGGCAGGCTACAAGTATGTCCCTCACCATGTCTGTGTGTGCATTCTGCGGGGAGTGTCTGCAGAGCTTCTTGACGAAGAATCCGCAAAAGCTTGTTGCCCGGAATTGCGAAGCTCTGTGTCGAACTCTAGGCCACCATCTCTTGGCTTGCTGACATTAGCTGTGATTCTCTGCCGCTGCCGCTGCAGATTTATCCCCTCGCCTGCGGTTATCAGTGCAGAGGCCTTGTCGCCTGATTGCTAGGCCTTCCTGACCCACAAAATTGAACAACCACTGCTTCCCACATGCCCGAGGTCTGAACATCATCGAACGTTTGAGACACGCGGCCTGAATATGTCCGCGCCGCTTTGGGCCTTAGGCTACAAGGCTGCCTTCTGAGACACTGAGCCCCTAGCACAGAAACTGGGCCAAGACTCCGGCGCCATCCGCTGGGTACGAAAGAAAATCCAAAAATGCCAAAGCATTTTCACCTGAAAGGCATTGATCGCACATTGGAGGCATGATGTTTTATGCTCGTCACCACCCGCCATGCGCAAGTGAAGCCAGTCTCCGTTTAAACATGCTGACCTAGCTACGAACATGTAACATAGGAGGTATGCCCTTCCACATCGAACCTTGAAAGACGTGCTCACTTCAGGGCAGCCACCCGGTCGCGGCCCGCTGGCCCGCTCAGCACGACGCGCCGACAAACGGACGGCCTTGGCCTCGGAGGGGATTGCTGTGAAACGGCTGAAATAATATTCGGTACGGCACCCTTATAAAAAGGACCCTAAACGGAACCCTGATTTAGAAAACTGCCATATTCTGAAGGGGTCAGGTTATGGATAATCTAAGGCATAGACAGATTGTGATGGTGACAACGCCTCATATGATGCAGGCAAACTAGTTCCCTCTGCTTCCGGGATTGGGACGGAGACTTGAACCAAAACTACATCTCTGCCTCGGCGTGCCCATGCATGAGGTGCGAATGCGGACCTGTATTTCATGTAAAATGGGTTCGAGGCACTTGAATGGTGGCCTGTCTTGTATAGGTACCAGTAGTATGTTCTCGCGCCGAATTCCGGCCCCCTGAGCCAATTCCGACACCTTTTGACTTGACCCTGAAAGGCAAACGACCTCTACACTGTGCGTAGCTTTTCAGGCAATTTCGGCAAGACGGGATTGGCCGGATGCTGCCGCGAATCACAGGGCCTGGAGCACTGAGACCCTGGCCAGTGGCTCGTACGACCGCAGAAGCTCGAAGGAATAGAAATTGCCATCCTCGGCACATACACTGGCTTCAGGCTCACAGCCTTTCTTGCTCGGTAACCGAGGGGAAGTCCAACGCCCGGAAGGGAGAGTGGGCTGTCGTATCCGTCGACAGGTGAGCCAGGTAGCCCTTCACGATCAGCACCGCATAGGCTGGGATCACGAAAAGCAACGGAGGCGCCATCATCCTTGCATCCGGCGGCTCTGTGCATCGCAGCTAACCTTCGAGACTCTGAGTGGAAGACCTGGATCTGAAGAAATCGGCCGTGGCACCTGGGTGCAGCCCCGCGCTCTCCGCGCATGCCGCCGTGCTCACACTTACATCGTAAGGAACCGCTCCCTGATCCACTGGTTCTGCCGATGCACGGGCAGGGCCCTGCACCTTGTGGAAGAAGTCATCTACCACCACGATGCCACCATCAGACACGCTGTCCCATGTTTTTTCAAAAGCATCCTTGGTTTTGCCAGCAAGTGGCACGAAAGTGTGAAATGAGGGGGCGCACGGAGTGATAGCGACGCGGCCTAGAGAGCGAAATCCTCTTCATGAGTTGAGCGATCGTGTAAAGCGACTGCATGGATCATGAGTGGACAGGCGATTGCATGAGGGAGTGAATGAGCGAGCGAGAGGCATCAACGTTTAAACTCCTGCGCCACGGATGCCGGGGATTGCTGCGAAAGGCTGCCTTAAAAGCGACAGGCCCTATGCTAATCGCTTCCAGCCAAGCTTCCAGCACGGACTGGTACAAGTCCCCGTCAATGTGCACAAAGGCTAGCCTAGGCTCGCTGCAGAGGAACATTCGAGTTCAGAAACCTCGAAAAACCCAATCTGTCGGGGGACTGCTTGAAGTCTTCGGGCAGTTGAGCCGCGGCGAAAGACGACGGCCTCAGATCTTTGACTCTTTGACCGCCTTTTTGTGCTTCTCTGCGCCTTTGTTTCGGGCATCCAAGCCGCGCCACGTGCACGGTGCTCTCCAAGCCGAAGCTTGCCAGCAGCTCTTGGAAGGCGGCGCTGTTGTCAATTTCTGGGCCATCGGGAGGGCCAAAGTCGCCCTCCACGAAGTAAGCATTATCTCTCAAAGCGTCGGGAGCCGGCAGGCCCTGGAAGGAGTCCTCGGCATTCCCATTCCCACACCACACGCACAGACAAAGTCAAAAGACCCCGTCACTGGAGCTGCTTTGAGGAGACGAGGAGGAGGAAGCGACACATAAAAAACGCACTGTGTCCGTAAGACTGTTGCAGCGACATGCATCTCCCGACATGAAAGAAAGTAGTGTTGCGGTCCGTCAATGTGTGCCGGGACACTACTGCCAGCAACTTTCGGCCTGCGAGCCTCTGGGCATTCGTCTACCAAGGATCCCTAGAAGTCGCTGCGTTTTCCCCTTCGAAGCCTCGCGAGGTGCCCGAAGAACACTGAGCTGCCACCCAGCCCAATGCCAAACTCCGCGAGCTGCCCAGGGACTCCTGCAAGACTTCCGCAGAACTCAGAGATGCCTCTCCTAATACAATAAAACATATATACTAATAATTTAAAACAATATAATAATATAATACAAAAGAACTTAGTGTTATAGAATAGCTTTAGCTTCCCAGCCAGGTCCTGAAGAAAACGCCTTCTCCAGGACCTCCTGGTAGATCAAGTGGCCCCACGGCCAAGGAGGCATGGCGGCCTCAGCTTCTGGCACTTGGTGCTTAGGCAAATGGCCTTCGGGACCGACTTGAAAACCCCCAGGGCAGTAGCCAGCATCGAAACATCCAGAAGAAGCTGGTCGAGCTCCACCTCACTTTCACACATACCCACGCTTCAATGTCAACATGCTTCGTCTTCGGTGCAGAGAAAAACCCGGGTATGACTGTACTCAGCTCCTGCAAGCCGCGGAGCTGGAGTGTACGGAAGGATCTGAGCATACAGCTGCCGCCTTGCACACACTTCCACATGAAACGTCGCACTGGACGGAGGGCCGGACACGTGTCTTTGCCCATCCATGTCCATGTTGCTTGCAGGGAACCTGTTCTGCGGCCAGAAAAGGTCCAGCGGGAAGTAGGAGTGCCTGCTCTGCGGCATCGAACCGCCGACAAAAGCTCACATCTCCTGCAGCCCGGCAACTGTCCCGGCAAGCGCTCCGGCTGGAGACCCACTGCCACCGGCACCAGGCAGGCCACATGGCTTACGAGCATTGTGGGGCATGCCCTGATATTCAAGCTGAAGGCAATGTGCGATCGACAACCACCTCATGACGACCAGAACCTATCAACGGATCCACTGCAGAACTTTGCAAAGAGCACGAGAGATACTAATCATGCAAACGAAATCATCAGCCAATCCGGTGCTGCGGAAGCACAGAGCACCAAACGTCCTTGAAAGCAGCACGGACCGAGGCCGCAACGACGCCCTCACAAACTTCGCCAACGACCTGAGAATGCATATCTCAACGGGCATTCGGTCCGCCAAAAGATGGTTTATGTGCCGGAAGCGGCCTTCTTCGTCTCGGCACAAACCACGGAGCCAAGGACCCTCGCGCCGCCCTGCGACAGCGTTTGCTTAGCTTGGCTCCCTTGTGAACTACAAGCTGGGTGGTAGACCGTCTTAGTCGGCACTGTGGTTACTCTGGTGTCGATGAACTGAGCAGCGCTCCGGAGTGGAATACACGGGCACTCAAGGGAAAAGCCAAAGGACTGGTACGGTAAGTGTCTGGCAAACATCGGCAGCCCAAGCTCGCTTGCGTCCCTGTGAAAAGCTCGGATCTCTCGACTCTCGGATCTCGACTTCCGCCCAAGAGATCCCTCCAAAGAGAAGCGCTTTGGGATCTTTTCCCTCGTCTCCGGGCTTCGGAGCACCATCGGCGTGACGCCGGTGAGACACTATGCACACACACACACACATCTCCACACCCCATGGAGGGTGTAGAGATCACTGAAGTAAGAGAAAACTGGGAGTGGCTGTAACCTTGGCCACGGAAGCTCTCTGACCCCGTGCCCAAGGGCCAACCCTTCATGGAGCCACCAGCTCAAAGCCAGAGCTCTGGCGCTGCCACGGCCCCCTTCTCGCCATCCTGGGCTCCGGCACATCTCAGAAGCAAAAGTTGGGTTTGGAACCCTAAACCCTAAACCCCAAGCCTAAACCCCTAAACCCTAAAAAGCTTGTCTCAGCTGTGAGTTGTCTTTTTTGTTGCCCAGCGGCGCCGCCTTGCCGCAGAATGGCGATCTCGAGGTCTTTCCTGTAAGGTGACGTTGTTGCAGGCTTGCCGGCTGCGACGTTCAGTTACAAAGCCTACTCCAATGTCGCCGGGCATCTGAGTGAGATCTTGCTCACGTTGGGAGAGCAGCCCCTCCAACTCCTGAATGCCTGAGCAAGGCTCTCCGACGGCTGCGCAGGTTTGCTGCAGCGGATCGACATCCGAGCGACGTATCTCCTTGGCCACAAGTTGTCGTCCGTAGTCGACGACCTCACGAGCTGACGAGGGCCAGGGCCAAGCTTCTTTTCTGAAGAGGGGGAAATTATAGAGAGAGAGAGAGAGAGAGAGAGAGAGAGAGACACAGACCCGGAGCGCGAGGGTGAGCGCGCAAAGCTGCTCTGAAGGAGGCGCTGAGAGGCGGAGCCCGGCCTGGCGATCCTGCTCGGCCACACGGGCCTCCAACTGGGCGATGCGCACGTCGCGATCCCGCAGGTGGCCGCCGGCCTTCACTCCATCGCGAGTCGCGCGGGAACCCTAAACCCTTAAAAACCCTAAACCCCAAAACCTTTTTTGCATCCAGGACTCTCGCAACCAGCCGGGAAACTCCACAAGACAGAAAGTCAACCCTCCCGCAGCACTGAGCGTGGCTACTAAAGGATCGAACGTACGGGATTCACTAGTTCAGTCGAAGCAACCCTTCAACCCTAAACCCTAAAACCCTTAGGACTTCACTGCGGACCTCGCTGAGGTAGGCGACCTCTGCCTGCACAGAGTTCCACATAATGAGAGAGAGAGAGAGAGAGAGAGAGAGAGAGAGAGAGAGAGAGAGAGAGAGAGAAGAGCTCTCGTGGTTATCTGAGCTCTCCCACCTGAGCCGCATCCAGTCGCAGGAGGACGCACTGGTTGGGTCCAGGGGACTCGTGGGAGGGCAAAGCGTCCCGCCGGCCTCTCAGGCGTGTCACGCCAAGCAGGCAAGGCGAACATCAACACGCGCCTGTCCAGCCACAGCCACGCCGGCACCGCACAGGAAGCTCATCCAAAAGGCTGTTCAGCGCCTGTCGTGGCAGATCGGGGCTTCGAGACCTTAGAAGCCTCATGTCGCGCGGTGTCCTGGTGCGGCTGCAGGTCCTGCAAGGCGATTACAGGCGCAGTCTGGACCTCATGCCTGACGACAGACCTACAGCAGCTATCAGTAATTACTGCTATGAATTGGGAACTGTTGTGTAAAACGAGGAAAACGAAAAAAGCATATGCCGTGTATCACCCCGCGCTAGACAGGCTACTGCTGCAAGCATTACTTGCCCTGTCCTCCACACCTATCCTCGCACGGCAGGTGGGGCAGTGCCCAGTCCGCCCCGTCGTCTCCTCGCACGCCTCTGAGCCCGAGCCGTGAAGCTAATCACCGCCCAGCTAAACCGGGGCCAAGCTGGAAACAAAGCCAAGGTGCAGATTGAGAGTGCGACGACTCGGCGACCATGGACTGTTCTACGCAGGTGCGGCAGAAGACGTGCTGGCACGGCCGGCCGCCACAGAAGACTGGATCCTCGAAGACTTCGAAGCATACCTCATCAAAGCCGTCTCAAGCGTAGGCTGGGCCTGGCCCGTTATGCTGCAACCCGAGATGCCGGGCACTTCAAGGTCTCGGAGATTGACTCGGGATTCACGAACTCGACCTCTCGAATGCCCATCGAGCGGCGATCGGCATTGGGCCCAGGATGCCGAGGGACATACATCTACAGAATCTACAGCCTACGGCCAAACGCCGGCGTCTTGCTGCTGCAGCTGCTAAACTGCTAAACACTGCTCCTATACTTGCCATATGCTGCTGCCTTCAGCTTTAACTTGGACTTCTTTCCGCTGTTCTGGACACTGAAAATTTCTCAGGCCGTCGAAACCTAACTCTGGCTTTCACCGCACCTGACTCGCTGCTCCAAATGATAAGTGCAACGCGTTTGCATTCCCTGGCAGGGAAACAGAGCGTCAATGAAGCTTGCCACAACCTAGCTACTGCTACCAATAAAGCTTGAGCCCCACGATGCCAGCAACAGCTCCACCGCACTCTACCGCCAAATCTGGCTGATCGAACTCAGAATTCAGACTCTTGGGGTCAGGACTCTGCCACCCTGCGCGTGGCCACCACCGCTTGCACTGCAGGCCCTGAGAGGAGCAGAAGGGAAGAAGTAGTAGTAGTACTAGCAGCAGCAGNNCAGCAGCAGCAGCAGCAGCCGTGTAGCAGCCGTGTAGCAGCCGTGCAGCAGCAGCGGCAGCAGTATTTGTAGTAGTAGCACTGGTTGCGGTCAGCAAGCCGTAGATGCTCCAGACATGCAGCCATGCAGAAAACACACTCCATACACACCGCT